CCAGCCACCTTCTCTACTGTCGATGTATTTCCAGCCATGAATCCGCAGAAAGAAATCAAAGAAGTGGAGACTTGCAAAGTTTTTCATAGACAAACATATCTGGTGATCAGGCACACGGAGCCACTACCTCAACTTGGAGGAGCGGATTTCTGCACCTATTCCGATCCCTCGTTTTAGAAGAGGACGAATTTAAGATAATGGCATTTATGCGTGGTTAATGCAAAGATCCAGATGCAGTTGGACAAGTGAGCGCGCTCTACGGTCCACCCGGTTTAAAGAAAAGGTATTCTGATGATAGCTATTAAAATCAAGCATCAAGGATTTACATTGAAATGAATCGTCGTTTGAACGAATTCAAAAACTAAATCTGATTACATCAGCTGGCATGAAATGAACTAAATTATCACATAGTACTGCGCAGCGAATGAAATACTACAAAGAAATGCCGTGTATAAAAAGGGCCCGGACCGGGAGAGAGCAATGTACCTTAAAATTTACCAAATTATTATTAGAGTGTTATCTAAAATCCATCTTATCGTGAAAAGAAAATCCTGATTAAACTTTTCTGCTGCTACCGGATTTACACGGCGTAGATATAATTGTTTTTATGCATAAATATGCCTACGGAAAATGGCCTACTGTAGGTGTCCGAACACGACTTTGTCTGGCCTTAGCCAGTGATGCGAGTTTGTCTCCATACACTGCAGGTGCTAAAGACCATGGAACTGTTGTCAGCCCAAATGGTCCCCTTAACCGCTAAAATAGAGAGGACGATACGTCTACGCCGTGTAAATTCGGTAGTAACAGAAAATATTATTTTCACTGGCGGTATCGAAATCCAGCAGTTTGCTAGTAGACCCATAAGACTGTAGTTTACTTTTATCTATAAATAATGAATAACTTATTAATCTGCAAACCATGTGTCGGCATGATAATACCTGTTGTCCTACTCTATTCAAGAGATAAGCGAATCATCCTGCACTTCAATTTGCGATCATGTTAAAATATGTCCATCGTACGACATGGTTTGCCCATTGTCGCTTTGGTCGTCTTCTCAGCCATATTCCTGGAGTTAAGCCTGCTCCATACGATAGCAAATGTTACTCATAGTGCGAGCAAAATACAGTAAGTCCGCCTTTATAAATTTTTAAAAACAACCGCCGAGTTTCTGGCTGCTAAAATTTATTTATCACCATGTCTGGAACTGGTGTAACTCAAAATTGACATATGCAATTCGACTCTGGTATGATTTTTGCCCCTCTCATCATCTAATCATGGCAATATAAATGTGAGACCCATCTTGTTCCTCAATGTTTTGACTTTCTTTTCCAGTTGTTACACATTTGTCGTAGATGTTGCAACTGAGAGTATGTCATCCACATATCATAGACTTGAAATGAACTTCCCTTATCATTCTTTCATTTTAATACTTCTGATATATGTTTTCAATACTGGCTGCAAATTTGATTCGTTATGCATGATAATACCGGTGACAATCGGTAGCATTGACATTCAATTTTGTTTTCAAGGAAATAATGAGACAAAAGATCAGTAATAACGCGGGTATTGTGCATGTTTTGCGATCAGATACGAACGTTGACACTTTATATTTAGAACGACCGATGATAGGATATGCCACAGAAGATGCATTCCAGAAATATGGAGTGGTTTACCACTTACTGCCGCCCTTAAATTCTTATCCAATTCCTCAAATACTGGTGTCCTGTTTAAAAGCAGGAATTCGATGCCCATTGGCGTTGGTGCTGGAACCTTTCTAGTGCTTGACATGTCATCTGTTTGAATCTGTTTCAGCTGTTTCAGAAGAAGAATTGCATGCGGGAAGAATTTCACAGTTTCGGATAATCGAATAGGTCACTAGCAGGGAAATGTGAAGCGGTCTGACTGGCTATTGACTGGTCAGGAATCAGCCTTGCAATACGCTATGAAATTCCATCTGCGATGAATGTATTTCACATAATCCATCTGATTGTCATCTAATGGCATTTCTTAGATAACGTAAAGCACAAACAGGGTCAAAGCGAATTACTAGCTCTTAAAGTGGTTATGACCCCAACCTCCCGGGGTGAGGAATCAAGTCCAAAATATGTATTAGCATGGCCGAGTAAGCTTGCAGCAACCAATCGACGTGGAAGATGGCTAATGACCCAGCTACATGGCGATTATCTAAGACATGGTACAGATGTCCTTTATCTGGGTTAAGTGAATGGAACTCCTAACTCGTCAACGGTTCCATTGAAGCTTAGAACTTCACTCTTCTCTTTTCTCCTCTCTTCTGAGGTACATACGATTACTTCGTAACAGTGCCCCATAGCTCGTTGACGAACAGTCCCATTTTGCCGAAAATGCCCTTTTGATCGTGACCCAGTCGTCTGGAATTTGTAGGCTCATTTCCTCCCAGCTTTACTTCCAACGTACATTTCGTCGGTTGGCAACAATTTTACTCTCTAATAGAAGATCAGCCTGAGCAAAATCGCATCTCGCCTACTCTCTAGGTAGACCATTCAGTATGATTTGCAAATTAATTCAGTACTATTAATTCAAGCAGTATCCACCGGCGAAGGGGGACAAAACGCAAAATTATGCACGTGATTCAGTGTCATGAGATCGCAGAGGTGTTAAAGTCACGTCGGTTGGTGGTGATGAGGAAGGAGCGGAGGTGTAATGCGAAATTGTTCATTTTGTCTGTTTGTCTTAAAACGTTTCCTTAAAGTAACTTTCCTAATAAATCGCTTCTTCGCAAAATCTAGTGATCACAAATTGGACAATTTCAACATAAGGTTCACAAAATAAGCTCTTTTCGCGAAACAACAGTGGGCGGTCAATGGGTACTTCCAGGATCATGTGGCTCAGGAATAAGGGATGTTTGGTATCTAGACTATGAGTGTACTCAGCTAGCGGTATGAAACCACGGTTAACACTTTACGAAACGGCTCGCCTCACAGTATGAAAAGGAAAAAGGGCTCCAAAAATAAACTGCTGTGTGCAAGACGTCAGATAGATTGCAGTCCATGTTTCTGTAATAATGAAAACAACTGATAGAGACCACACTGATTCTATTTACTTTTATTTACTGATTTGCAGATTATACATTATTAATCATTTAAGAGGTGGGCCAACTCCAAACGAATTCGTGCAACAAATTCATCAGATGCACGTCGCACACGCTACGGTCTGACCTGTACCAAAGCATCACATTGTCACCATTATTCGAAAATCAACGTACCCATTTCTTGATAAGTTTCGCCTAATAAATAGAGTGGGTGAATTCCTCGCTCGAGGAAATAAACAATTGCAATGAAACGATTTCACGTTGCACAAGGAACTAGAACTTGGCACAGCATACTGAGCAACAATAGAAGTAAACTGTCTCACTGCCTTGCTATATTCTATGCAGTGGATTCTGATGCGAAAAGGACGTGAAGTTGTCGAATGTCGAACATGGAACATTCGGCATAGGAGGAAATAAAATTACACTGAGACAGCTGTTTCGCAGTTGGACGTGAGATTCTGCCTTTTAACCGCACGTTAACAACTGACGGGAATGTACCGAGCGTGTAATTCAACAGTATTGCCGGCCACAAAATGGTATTAGTTCGAATGTAGTCCTACAAGGATGAGAGATAGGGTAGTTGGTGCAAAATTTTAACCACGCATTTTTAATAACTGCTTATCACTGCTTTGTGGATTTTCAAAGCCTGCAGAGGCATTATTAATTATCAGTTACAAACAGAATGCATTTAGTCTCAATAATAACAGAAAAATGATAATTTTTATTGACGAATATGAGAATATTTTTGGTTAGCCGATAACAATTGAATCTAAAGAAATGTCATATCGCCAGCAATGTGATGCCACATACTACTTCTAAAGATAAAGATTACGTCATAACAGCGAAGGAACACCACAGCTGATCTCAAATTACGCATTGAGAAATTTTCCGACCACATCAGCTGCTGCAAATGAATTTCGGTGTGCAGAATACAGCGCTTGTGAAACGAAGCAACGACAAAGCTTAATTGTTCGTGTTCGATAAACGTGAAAAATATCAATTAGAATCCTTAAGTACTGAGTGAAGCGGATATACAAAAGTTAGAAAACCTGCAGCACTGTATGAGATGCCATCCAGTTTGACGATGATGGCAACGAAAAGAAAATAAATCGAATGTCGAATGAATGGTGATAAAAGTCAGCAGTAATATATCACTGAAAAATGCAGCTATTTGAACTTACTAATACCACAATCCATTTATAAACCAGTAAAAGTTCAATAGATGCAGCATTCTGCGTCTTTCCAAATGAGCACAAACAAGGTTGCGTGAGGATTAACATTCATATTCACTGAACTATAACATCTGTTACTCATCAACTGCACCGAAAATGTTATCGCATCATACTGTTTACAGGATGGCACCAGGTTTGTGCGGTGGCGAAACTACTGCAGAGATACGGTGTCGTTTGCTTACTGTCGTTTGCCTAGAGATGTTGATTTTACCATTTCTGACTGTTGCTTAACTAATTAGCTAAATAATAATTTCCCTGGGTTCCCATGTTTGAAATTTCAACCTAGAGAGATTGTCTCTTCAACGATAGCAAAGCTGAGGCAGCGAGGGTGAGTCTTAAAAATTGTGAAGGAATATGCTCATTACATTCGGCTG